GTGGTACGGGGGGGGGGGGGGGGGGGTAATTACTGGAACTGATCCCCTGTATGGCTCTCTCTGCAGCAGCTGAAAACTATTTTTTTTCTGCTCTCCCTCCCACTGGCTTTCAGCTGCCGCAGAGAGAACCATACAGGGGATCAGTGCCAGTAATTGCCCCCACCGCACCAATCACCCTCCCTGTGCACCATACATTTCTCCCTGTTTCCCAAACTACCCTGTGTACCACCACAGTGCTGCCAGCTTCCCTCCTCTCCTTCCCACTGACAGCTGCAAGCACACAATAGGATCCTTCAGGATGGAGAGTAGAGGAAGGGTCTGGTAAATATGTCACATTTACCAGCCCCTTCCTTTCATGAATGAACACCAATCACTCATTACTACCAGGCAGCACAGTGGCTAAATGGCTAGCACTTTTGCCTGGCAGTACTAGGGTTGTTAGTTTGAATCCCAACCACGACATCACCTGCCTGGATTTTGCATGTTCTCTCTGTGCCTGCATGGGTTTCCTCTGGGTTCTCCAGTTTCCTCCCTCACTCCAAAGACATGCTGGTAGGTTAATTGGCTCCTGTCTAAATTGGCCCTTGTATGTGTATGAATGTGCATTAGGGACCTTATACTGTATGCCCCTTTAGGGTTAGGGACTGATGTGAATGTACAATATATAAGTAAAGTACTGCGTAAGTTGATGGCGCCATGAAAGTACCTGTAATAAGTATAAGTAAAATAAATAATACCTAAAACATATTAAAATGTGTTTTTTTTTTTTGGGGGGGGGGCTGTCAGGTTGGCTTTAAGGGGCCACGTCGTTTCTAACAGCAGCCCTGGTTGGGAGTAGGGTTTCCTGCATTTAACTTACCCTTGGCCAGGTTGTAGTAATACCTTAATCATTTCATTTTATATTTTGCAGTGTTTTGACACAATGTTTCTGAAAAAAATGTATGATCTCTGTATAGTTCCATGGTTATATTAGCCTGATTTTCAAGTTTCCTCCTATACTCTAAAGACATGCTGATGGGATCATTTCCTTTTGTCTATAGTAGCCAAAGTATGTATGTACTGTATGTGTGGACCAATAATTAAATAATGTAAGCTCCTTGAGTGCTAGGCTTCACATGAATGAAGATTATGTAAGGTGCTGAGTATTTTAATGACCCAATGTAAATGCTTGTGTTTAATTATATTAGTGTACTAACCTGAGGAAGAAAAGGAGGGGGAATAGATTGAGACATGTCTCTACAAATCCACAAATACCTGCTCAGGCAGACGAAGCAATGGCACACTCATACTGTATGTGGCATACACAGGCCCATAAATATGTGTATCTCCTGTTCTCTCTCTCTCTCTACAGCTACATTTCTGTACCTATAACTGTATGTTTATATACAGTATATCATATGTCATATCTATCTCTATATGTATATATCTTTCTATATCTAATTTTTCAACCTCTTGCTGACCACTGTATAGCTGAAAAACGGATCATGCAGCGCATTGAGGAAATGATGCAACACTGGATTGCAGGCAGTGATGGCTACAGCATGGTTGGTTGGCTAGTCCTGGGAGAGTGTTTATAGACGTCCTCCTAGATCCTCTCCTCCTGCGCACCCACAGGGCATGCATCGGGTGCCCTCTGTGATTGCTGTGTCCTTTGTATTGCAGTAAAGGCCCAATCACTGTGACCCTTTACCATGTGATCAGCTGTGTCCATTGACAGCTAATCACATTGTAAACGGACAACCTCATGCACTCCAGCTGTTGTGGAGCTGCAGATTTCAGAATTTTAAAAACTCTAAAATTCACAGAAATTACTCCAAAAGCCAGATGCCTACTTGAATCTGTAGTTTCAACAAAGTGCCAAACAATGTGGCCCATCATATCCCATTGTTCAAAATTCTCAAAGCAAATGCACACCTCTCCCAAGAGCAGGGAGCAGCAAACAAAGAAATGTGCCCACATTACTTAATATTTGAATAATAAATGTAAACAGAGCAATCTAGGATTGAAAACAGATTTAGAGCACCTGTAGATTAGCACTTGGGGCTAAGAATATGCATGCATCATGCATACTGGGGGGGGGGGGGGTACAATTGGGGGAATCAGTGGTGAAGGATCTGGGAGTTCTGGTAGATCTCAAGCTTAATAATAGCATGCAATGCCAAGCTGCAGTTTCTAAAGCGAGCAAAATCTTCTCTTGTATTAAAAGAGGTACAGACTCCAGAGAGAAAGAGAGGGATATCATATTACCCCTGTACAAATCATTAGTAAGACCTCATCTGGAATATGTAGTTCAGTTTTGGGCACCAATTCACAAAAAGAACATTGGGGAACTGCAGAAAGTACAGAGAAGGGCAACCAAAGTAATAAGAGGCATGGAGGAGCTCAGCTATGAGGAAAGATTAGATGAAATGAATGTATTCTCTCTTGAGAAGAGGAGATTAAGGGGGGATATGATCAGCATGTATAAATACATCAGTGGTTCATATAGTGAACTCGGTGTAGAGCTCTTCACCCTGAGGTCATCACAGAGGACAAGGAGGCACTCTTTACATCTGGAGGAAAATAAATGTAATCTCCAAACACGGAAAGGTTTCTTCACAATAAGAAATTCAAATTTCCAAATAAGGAAAGGTTTCTTCACAGTAAGAGCTGTGAAAATGTGGAATAGACTCCCTCAAGAGTTGTTTCTGGCCAGCTCAGTATATTGCTTTAAAAAAGGCTTGGATTCTTTCCTAGATACACACAATATAACTGGTTACTAACATTTATAGGTAAAGTTGATCCAGGGAATATCCGATTGGCTCTCAGGAAGGGATTTCTTTCCCTGCAGGAGAAAATTGGATCATGCGTTGCTGGTTTTTTTTTTTCCTTCCTCTGGATCAACTGTGGGTATAGGATTATAACTTTTTTTTTAATGGTTGAACTGCATGGACTTTTGTCTTTTTTCAGCCAGAGTAACTATGTAACTAGATGCATACAAACATTTACATATCCAAATGTAAACATTATGCTTCAATTCCAAGCTGAAACTCATGTGCTCTTTTTTCCCTACAATATTTCATGTTCAGCACCAAGCAGGAAGAAAAAATAATACATACAAGAATAAAAGGAAAAAAGTATAAGGATATTATGTATTTCCTCATATAATGCTTAAGACTAGGTTCACACCTATTCCGTTTAATTGGTTAATCGCTTTTTGCATTTTTGAAGCGTTTTGCTGTTTTTTCCAACTTGTTGCTGGGCAGAATAAAAAGCAAAACGCATCAAAAACGCACTACATGCATTTCTGCAGTTTCACCATTAAAGTTTATTGAACCAAAATGCAACGTCCTGTGTTTAAAAAAAGTCCCTGACCCTTTCCAAAAAATGCACAGGGTGGAAACACGGAGATGTGAACATATCCCATAGGGAATCATGTTAAATGGACTGTAGTGCGTTTTTGAAAAATGCTTAGGCGTGTACCTAGACTTGTATGTAGTCACATTGGCTACCACTTGTTATTCACTCTTTTTTTTTCATGATTAAGACCAGACACACATATGGAAACACAAGAAATTTCTTATAGCTAAGCCTATGGGCTCGTTCACACTTGACTGTTTTTCCAACTCTTGTCAAACGCCCCAACTCTTGTGCAAATCGTTAAAAACTCCCCACAAAAAAAAAAAAAACGGAATCATGAAGACAATACATGGTTGGTGGACTTTACTGCACCATCTCCCTGGGTCTTTTCTATCTTCTGGAGTTAATGGGGTACCTTCAAAGCAGTCACAATGAGGTTGATTTACTAAAACTGGAGCGTGCAAAATCTGGGGCAGCTTGGCATAAAAACCAGAAAGCTTTCATTTTTGTTTCCCCCAAGCTTAATTGAACAAGCTGACTTTAGAGGCTGATTGGCTACCATGCACAGCTGCACCAAATTTTACACTCTACATTTTTTGTAATTCAAGCCCAGTGTGTCATCTATTGGTAGTTTAATTTATGTGATGTAATGAACAGTACACAGCACTGGTAATTCCAGATTTTTTGTTTTTTAATATTGCTTTTTAATCTGCTTTGGTAAAAAAAGAAAAAAAGCAATACCAGTGTAAACAGTTTATTGTAGACCTAATTAAAAGTTTTTATAATTGGGAATCTTAAACAACTCAGTTGCCATTAAAGACCAAACAAATTAAGCAAGTTCATAATTGTAAACTTGCAATTAAAATTTCATACATATTTATTCGATTAGCTTCTTCATGCCTGGACATTACTAAACCCTGCAAAAGAGTATACTATAAAAAATTGCCAGCACAATTCCCACTATACTGTATATATTTGAATTGTATGACCATGGTAAAGTGTACATTTTATGAAACCTAATGTATGTTTAAAATCTTGTTGGTGCAATATAAAATGAAAGGAAATCTAAAAAATTACAGGCTTTACCATGTCAATTAGTGTACATATAAAGTGCAGCGTTTAACAAAATTATAAACAATAATGAAAAAAAATTGTGAAAAAAATGTCCATCATAACATTTCAAATAAAGAGAAGATTCCTCAAAGGCCGTGATGAAACAGGAAAAATCCAAGGATAGCTGATGTGTCATCATCCACTCACATGAAAGGCTAACCAGAGAGATATGGCAACCTGTTAACCGCCTCCCGCCCCCCATATAGTAAAATGATGGATGCAAGGTGGTTCTCTCGTTCCGGGAGCGTGAAGCGTGGCAATCGGCGATGTGCTGTGTCCCTCGGACACAGCGGATCACCAATCAACGGAAAGAGCCCAAGATGTTGGCCCGGTCATGTGATCAGCTGTGTCCAATCACAGCTGATCACATGTAAACAGGGAAATGCCGGTTATCGGCATTTCTCTCCCCACGAGCTGTCACGCTGACAGCTCGTGAGGAGAGGAGAGTCGGTAATTGGCATTCCTCGGAAGGGACATGTACACTGATCTTCAGAGCACTGATGATCAGTGTACCCTGATGATCTGTGTAGCCCCAGCAGTGCCACCTGTCAGTGTCCATCAGTGCCAGCTCTCAGTGCTCATCCATGCCACCTGCCAGTGCCACATCAGTGCCACATTTCAGTGCCACATATCAGTGCCCATCTGAGCTGCCTTTCAGTGTCGCCCTCAGTGCCAGTCAGTGCCACCTATCAGTGCTGCCAATCAGTGCCACCTATCAGTGCCAGTCAAAGCCGCCTATCAGTGCCAGTCAGTGCCGCCTATCAGTGCCCGTCAGTGCTGACAGTCAGTGCCGCCTATCAGTGCCACATATCAGTGCCGCCTATCAGTGCCATATATGAGTGCTGCCTTTCAGTGCCCATCAGTGCTACCTACCAGTGCCTCCTCATTAGTGCCCATCAGTGCCACCTATTAGTGCCCATCAGTGCAGCCTCATTAGCGCACATCAGTGAAGGAGAAAAATCACTTATTTACAAAATTTTATAACAAAAACTAAGAAAAAACGTTTTTTTTCTAAATTTTCAGTGGTTTTTGGTTTGTTTAAGAAAAAATAAAAAACACAGTGATGATTAAATACCACCAAAAGAAAGCTCTATCTGTCACAAAAAAATTATAAAAATTTCATATAGGTACAGTGTTGCATGACATTCAAAGTGCAACAGCGTTGAAAGCTGGAAATTGGCCTGGGCAGGAAGGGGGTATAAGGGCCCTGTAGGCAAGTGGTTAAGAGTGGTCAGTCGCGCTATGTTGTAAAACAACCTGGAAGGCTGGAAAGCCGAATCTTCATCTCGATCCCCAAGGGAGAAATGCCAAAGATCCTCCTACATTGATCCCTAGTTAAGGTAGCTATATCGCTCCAATTGGGACCCAAACACGTGGTATAAAACATGCAAAAGAAGATTGCTCCACATAGTGTAAAATGCTTAGAATAACATTTATTTCAAATATGGTTGCACTCACATGATAGTAGACATAAATGAGCATATACAAATGAAAAGATCCAACTCCTCCAGCATCCAAAATGGCCACCGGCCGGACACACATGCATGGTAGTGTGTGTATGTGGCTCCTCCCTATGCGTTTCATCATAAATGATGTCATCAGCACGCCCACATGCCTTTCCACGTTCATTATATAGGACCTGAAGCCCCAGAGGATCACAATGATTGGCCACAAATTGCAGAAGAGATCAGGAGATACACTTGCAAGCTAATTAATCAGTCAATCAATTGAAAAATAAAGATAGCGCCATCTAATGTTGGAAAAACCAAACACCAATAGTGAACCACTATGGGTGTGAAGAACCAAATGGTAGCTCCACCTAGTGGTTACAAACTATAAAGCAAGTGTTAAACATATGTTCACTAATAAGCCAGCCTGATAAAGCTGACTAAATACTACATTAAGGCACCATCTAGTGTTGAAAAACAAAACAGGTGCCTCAATGAAAATAGAGTAAAATTGTAACTATATATATATATATATATATATATATATATATATATATATATATATATATACAGTTGCAAGAAAAAGTATGTGAACCCCTTGGGATTACGTGGAGTTTTGCATGAATTGGGCATAAAATGTGCTCTGAACGTCATCTAAGTCACAACAATAGAAGAACACAGTCTGCTGAACATAATACTACACAAACATTAGATGTTGCCATGGTTTAATTGCACATAACATGTAAACATTCACAGTGCAGGGAGGAAAAAGTATGTGAACCTTTGGACCTAATAACTGGTTGACCCTCCTTTGGCAGCAATAACCTCAACCAAACATTTCCTGTAGTTGCAGATCAGACCTGCACAACGATCTGGAGTAATTTTAGACCACTCCTCTTCACAAAACTGTTTCAGTGTAGCAATATTCTTGAGATGTCTGGTGTGAATCGCTCTCTTAAGGTCATGCCACAGCATTTCAATCGGGTTGAGGTCAGGACTCTGACTGGGCCACTCCAGAAGACGTATTCTGTGCTGTTGCAGCCATTGTTTTGTTGAATTACTTGTATGCTTTGGGTCATTGTCCTGTTGCATCACCCATCCTCTGCGGAGCTTCAGTTGGCGGACAGATGGTCGTACGTTTTCCTACAAAATGTCTTGATAAACTCTGGAATTAATTTTCCCATCAATGACAACAATCCGTCCAGGCCCTGAGGCAGCAAAGCAGCCCCAAACCATGATGCTCCCTCCGCCATGTTTTACAGTGGGGATGAGGTTTGGATGTTGGTGTGCTGTGCCTTTTTTTCTCCACACATAGTGTTGTGTGTTCTTTCCAAACAACTCCATCTTGGTTTCATCTGTCCACAGTATATTTTGCCAGTAGTGCTGTGGAACATCCAGGTGCTCTTTTGCAAACTTCAAACGTGCTGCAATATTCTTTTTGGACAGCAATGGCTTCCTCCGTGGTGTCCTCCCATGTACTCCATTCTTGTTTAATGTTTTCCTTATTGTAGATGTGTCAACAAAAATGTTAGCATGTACCAGAGATTTCTGTAGGTCTTTAGCTGACACTCTGGGATTCTTCTTTACCTCATGCAGCATTCTGCGCTGTGCTCTTGCAGCCATTTTTACAGGACGACCACGCCTAGGGAGAGTAGCAACAGTGCTAAACTTTCTCCATTTGTAGACAGTCTGTCTTACTGTGGACACATGAACATCAAGGCTTTTGGAGATACTTTTGTAACCCTTTCCAGCTTCATGCAAGTCAACATTTCTTGATCGTAGGTCTTCTGAGAGCTCTTTTCTGCGAGTCATGGTTCACATCAGACAGTGCTTCTTGAAACCAGTAAACCCAAAACAGGTATGTGTTTTTTAAGGGCAGGACAGCTGTCAGCAACACATCCAATATCATCACACTGATTGGAGTCAAGGTTGGCTCGCTCCAATTAGCTCTGGGAGAAGTCATTAAGCTAGGGCCTCACATACTTTTTCCTCCCTGCACTGTGAATGTTTACATGTTATGTGCAATTAAACCATGGCAACATCTAATGTTTGTGTAGTATTATGTTCAGCAGACTGTGTTCTTCTATTGTTGTGACTTAGATGACGTTCAGAGCACATTTTATGCCCAATTCATGCAAAACTCCACGTAATCCCAAGGGGTTCACATACTTTTTCTTGCAACTGTATATATATATATATATATATATATATATATATATATATATATATATATATATATAAATAAAAGATATTTAAAAAAAAAAGAAATCTAACATATGTAATTATAAATATGCTGATGGTTCAAAAAATGTCACATTCACTGGCACCCAAATGAATCATGACAACTCAATATTGAAAGCCATAAATGTATCAAAAATTCAAAAACCCACTAAATAGATAGCAATCTTCTCTGACCAAAGATCAAAGTTAGACACAAAAGATAATAATAAAATACAACAAACTGAAACTTCAGCTATTATTAATGAAACAGTTAATGTCCCACTCAATATTAAGACCCCACAGTGCATAACTCTTGAGCCTATATATCCAGATAGTTTCAGCTCTAGAATTTGTTCTTTTTGCGTTACTACCTCACCAATCTGGGATATATTTCTCCAAGGCATTAAAGCTAGTACCCTCAGAGTTATTATTATGTTTCAAAGCATAGTGCTTAGATACACTGTGTTCCTTGAAGCCCTTCTTTATATTAGCAATACTGTATGTTTGATTAAACAAACATGGAGGGCATGTGTTGTATGACCTACATATTCCAAACCACATGGACATTTCAACATGTAATCTACATGTCTAGTTGCACATGATATGAATGATATCTTATATGCTGTGCCAGTCTGTGTACCAGTAAATTCAGTCATTGTCCTAACTCTAAAGGTGTTTATCTGGCAAGCTTTGCACTTTCTGCATAGATTATAACCCTCCAAGTTGGCAAAAAACACTGGCCTAATGGGTGGATCTGGTACATTTGGTGCTACTTTATTCCTAAGTTTACCTGCACCCCTAAAGATGACTTTAGGACTTTTGGGTAAGATAGAACCTAAAATGCAGTCATTCTTTAGAATGGAACAATGTTTTCGAATGATGTTTTTAACATCATAATGTTGACTAAATAAGGTAGTGAAAAATGCAAAACTAAAGCGATCGAAACTACCCTGAACAACTTCTTTATCCTTAATAAATTGTCATGATTCTAACGACCTATCTCACATATCAGTTTTTCTAAGTCTTCTGCTTTGTATCCCTTATCTAGAAACCTTGATTTCAATATCAGGGCTTCTCTTTCATATTCGTCTCTGAAGGTGCAATTATGTCTAAGATGCAAAAATTGTCTTTTGAGCACTGCTGACAACCATGAAGGGTGATGGCACGAATCAAGAGGGATATAGCTATTCCTATCCGTTTTCTTAACAAAGGTGGAAGTAGTGAACCTTCCATTAACTATAGATATCGTTAAATCAAGAAAATGTACTGAACTAGAACTTACTTCATGGCTGAAAATTATACTCCTTTGGTTGTTATTAAGAAAACTCAGAAATGAATTCAAAGAATTCACATCTCCCTCCCAAATGTGAAGGATATAAATCATTAAAACGCCTCCAGAATATTAATTCCGGCCTCAGATTGCACAGAATCACATTCTCCTCCCACTTAGCCATGAAGAGGTTGGTCATGCTAGGTGCAAATTTGGCCCCCATGGCCACGCCCTTCTTTTGCAAATAATATGAACCCCCATGCCAGAAATGGTTATGAGTCATACGAAACTGGAGTAGGTCCATTACGAAAGCTTTCTGTAATTCCGGAATAGACCCATCCTTTCTCCTAAAGAATTCCACTGCTTCAAAACCCAATTGATGGAATATTGATGTATACAAAGAAGATACATCAGCGGCTGCTAACAAATAGCTCGAGTTCAAGTTAATTCCTTCTAATACATTAATTACATGTTTAGGGTCTTTTAAATATGATGGTGCACTCACCACCAAAGGCTGTAAGAAATGATCAATGTATTTACCTGCTCGAGCTGTGATGCAATCTATACAACTAATGATGGGCCTACCCGGGGGTTTTTTCCATAGTTTTATGTATTTTTGGCAAGCAATAAACTACAGGTAATCTGGGAGCAGATGGTATAAGATATTCCTTCTCTTTTTTATACAAAATGCCAACTTTATATCCCTTCTCCACTATGACTTAAGCTCTTTTTTATATTGCAGTTCAGGATTACCCCTAAGTACCATATAAGTATCTTCATCTGATAATATTCTGGCCATTTCATTGTCATATGCTGTCTTATCAAGTATTACGATCACACCACCCCTTGTCTGTGGGACGAATAACTATATCTTTTCTAGTACAAAGGGTTTCCATTCCTAAACTAATGTCTTTATGGGGTTTAACAATTTTTATTCCTTACTGATTCAAGATCTTTGGAGGAATAAATCCTGAAAATCTGAAATGTTAGAAGGTGCATTGCCTGGGGGGTTAAACAATGAGACATTAGACAAATTAGAGTGAACAAATTGGGAATAGATGCATGGCTGGTTTCTAACTGGATTAGTAGTTAGGTATCTTTTAATATTATGCTTCCTTGTATACCTTTGAA